CCTGCCTGAACCCTTTGAAAATGGTCTTCCCTCTGAATAGAACACCATTCCTTTCCTTCTTAGTAGACTCCTTTTCCAGCTTGAAGTCTCAGCTGAAAGCCACCTCCTCTTTCCTGACCTGTCACACTGAGGCCACATGCTCTCTCCCTTATACAGCCCCCCAGCACTCCACACTGCACTGGATACTTCTATGCAATCGTTGAGTCCCTACTTATTATTATAATTACTTATTTAACACCAGCTTTTCCCGCTGCATTGGACAGAGACTGTGTCCGCCTTATCCCCAGAATCTAGCACAATGCCTGACAGAGGAAACATGAAAAACTGGCTGAGGAAGTGAATAAAGCACAGGCACAGAGCATCTGATGCCCACAAAATGCTTCCTAAGTATCTGCTGAACGAGTGCAAAAAATCTCAGCCACTTGTCCTTGCCCTCCAGCAAGATGAGAAAGTACTAGACAGAAGTGATTTCTTCAGATTCCCTGCAGAACAGTGGGCTGCAATCACCAGCACACCCCCAGTCATGGTATCCAAGGTTTGGCTCCAGGAACGTACAGAAACCAGGAGAGAAGAAAAAGCTGTGTCCCGGGAAATGGTTGTGATTATAATGGTGATAATCGCTCCTTCCCTCTTCTTTCATTTTACACTAGGTATGCATCCATGAACAAAACAGTTTATTTATCCTGGTTTTGAGCGTTTCAAATGAATGGAATCGTACTGCATTTGGGGGGGGGGGGGGGGGGGGGGGGGGAGACTATCTACGTCAAGTCTGTGAGGTTCACTCACACGATTATGAGACGATTTTGTTCATTTTCATTGCTTCATGACTGAATAATTTTACTTCTAATGTAGCCAATTTTGTTTTTCGGCCATGCCATGCCGCTTGCAGGATCTTAGTTCCCCAACCAGGGATCGAACTCCGGCCCTCGGCAGTGGAAGTGCTGAGTCCTCACCACTGGACTGCCAGGGAACTCCCTGATGTAGTCTACTTCTTATGGCCCCTGAGTTGTTTCCAGTTTGGGACAATTACAAACACTGCTCTGTGAACATCTCTGCTCACATGCCCTCGTACACCCAGGCAAGCAGGATGCATCCCCAACTTACCTAGATCAGGCCAAACTGTTTCCAAAGTGGTTGTACCATCGCGTGTCCCCACTAGCAGGCTCCGAGCGCCCATGCTGCTCCAGCCTCACCAATACCTGATATTTTCATCTTTTATATTTCTGCCAAGGTGACTATATGTAATAATACTGAATTGCATATTTGAAAGTAGCTAGGAGAGTAGATCTTAAAAGCTCTTAACACAAGAAGAAAAAACTTTGTAACTATACATGGTGACAGATGTTAACAGGACTATTGTGATCATTTTGCAATATATACAAATATCAAATCATTATGTTGTACACCTGAAACTAATGTAATGTTATATGTCGATTATACCTCAATTTAAAAAAAAAACAATTAAATACGCAATAGATTATTCACACTCTAAAAAAAAAAAAATTGCCAATCTGGTGAACGGGAAATAGAATCCCATTGTGTGTATGTATGTTTAATGCTTTAAACAAATAATAAAAAGAAACAGCATGAAGAAAGGCCCAGTAACAGGCCAGGGAATCAGCCCTAAAGCAGCAGATCAGATTGTCCCTTGATCCAACTAGTAAGTGCTGTAAATGTTTATCTTTTGCAGGAAGGGGTCCACCAGCTTCCATTCTTCCTTCCTCTGCTAACTTTACCCAGGTCCTTTCTGGGGATCACGTGCTTGGGGCAGAGCTCTCCTCCCAGCTCAAAGGTGGAACAAGAGAAAGAGTCGTAAGCCCCCCTGGCCACAGTGCTTGCTTCAGGGTTGAGAACATGACTCTATTGCAGCCAGACACAAGGAGACCTAGTTGAGTCACGGGGGAAAAAAGATTCTTGAGAACTTTTTCTCTAGAACTTGCAAGAAGTGAGGTCCAACAGTTTGGAGCTGCTAGAGCAGCTAGCCAGAGGGTTAGCCTGTTTGAGAATGAAGCCAACCCAGGGATGAAGTGAAAGAAACCAGGTCCTGATGGCATCCGGTGAAACCGGTATCGAGCTGTGCCTGAAGCTAGCCTAACCTTGAACTTTTCTGTCACTGGAGGCAATAAATGCCCTTTCTGCCCAGCCAGCTTGGACTTGTCTATCATCTGCCCTCCCCCATCCCCACCCCAAATTCCTGCCAGATACAGCAGAGGAAGTTATTGATGGTTACTGGGCTGAAATATACAAAGAGCTCATGCAGAAAAATCAGCCTCTTCATCTAGACAAAGCATTGGGCAAAGGTAGATACTAAGTGGCAATTCTGTTCTCTCTGGGCCCCACAGGTAGAATACAACCTGCCAGGACATAACAGATCTCCAACCTGCTCCACTGTGAGTGAGGAGCAGGCAGATCTTCTTCCACTCCAGCTGTCATTCTAACCAAAGCCTAAAGTGAAGAGTCCTGGGTTAGGATGAAAACCCAGATTATCACCCAGCCTCAGCTACTCTGCTGTGCAGCCCAGGGCTAGATTCTTGACCTTTCTGGGTCTCAATATCACCATGAAGTAATAGGGGTAGGAGGTAACATCCAGGCAATTCACAGGACAAATTGAAATAAAGGTTTGGCAAGCATACCAGAATATTTACTGCGCAACATAAAGTCACTGCTGTGATCAAGAGCCACCAAAGCAGAATAGACATAGATGGTATCTTTGGATCAGGTATCCCAGTTTTATTGTTTTGTTTGTTTCACAATCGGTTATCCGGCAGGAAAAAACCAGTTTATCAAATTTAGTTTCTTCAAGATCATAAATGGAGTCAGTGAACTCAAAATCTATGGGTTAGTGAGATGGAGACAGTCTAACCATTCATTCCCCAGAGGAAGGAGGGCCCTAAACCACCAGCTAGGAAGTTACTACTTTAATCAAATTTGAGACACCCATGTCATTACATGTTTGCATCTCTGCAATGTGATAAATGGCATGCCATGATTTAACTGGCAAGATATTTTTTCTATGTGGAAATAAAATAATTGATGACATCTTAGATGTGGTGAAATGTAGCATATCTCGTACAAAGTGCTGCTGGGGTCCTCTAACACATGGAACTCATCCCGTCACCCTCCTGCTTCGAAGCTCCTGAGGTCCAAGCTGCACAGCAGGGCACACAGGCCCCCTATAATCTGCCCCCCACTTACCCATCCAGCCTTGAATCCTAACGCTAGAGACACTGAACTGGAAAGACAGCCCCTTCTTCACCGCCCCCTCTCCCCACCCCTTGCTCTTGTACATGAGCTTCTCAGTCCCAGCTCAACCTTGAAAGCCTGAATCAGATATGCCGCCTTATCTGTGAGGTCCTTCCTGTGCCCATCCCACCTCTGAGCTGAATGAATTCCCTCCCTTGGGAAGCTCCTGCAGATACTACATTTCTATTACAGCACTATCATACCACTTCCTAATTGATATTTTTACCCATCTTTCTTCCAACCAGGATGTGAACCCAAGGGTCACATCTCACCGATCTTTTCGTATCTCCAGTATCGGGCACAAAGTCTGTAAATGTTTGTGAGGCTAAATGTTATCCCATGATTCCAGAGCCCCATATCTTCTTCATTCTCCCCCTCACCACACTCCCCTTCCCACTTTGCAATCTCGCTTCAGCAGGAGGCTCCAGGGGCTCCCCTCAGATTAGACATTCTTGGCCACAAACATTACCCAGATCTCCTTCCTCTGCACATATAGTTTGGGGGGAAAGGTCACTGCATTTTACCAAGTTGGCAAGTTTTAATTCATCCTGGATGCCAGCTAAATTAAGCCTTTGTTTTCCAAAACCAATTTCTTCCCATTCTCCATGTCGTTTCCTATTCTGATCCTGGGGGTATAAGTCTGAAGTCACCCCAAGAAGCCTCAATTCCAACTACGGGCTCTCCTCTGCAGCTCGCAGTGTCTTCTGCAGTGGTCACCCCAGTCTGAGCCCAGCCTATCACTCCCTTTGGGGGAAGTGACATCTAAGAAGTCACCTACTTCTCCTGGGCCTCAGTTTCCTTACTGCTTTACAAGGTAAGAATAACGTCTTGTCAAGTTCGCCAGGCTGTTTTGAACTTTAATCAAGGTCACGTAAGTGAAAGTGTTTTCAACAGCAAAAAACTCTATAAAAAGACATGCTAGAAAAGAGCACAGGAGCCAACTTAAAAGAACTTGCAATGGCTAAAGTTGTAACAAAACAAAGTAGTACTGAATTATAACCCTAAGTATAAAATAAATATCCATGAGTCCATACTGATACAAATAAATGATTGAATAAGTGATTAAATAAGGCAAAAGAGACAAATCTCCCACACAGAAGAATTCCAGATAATATATGTATGGAGTTGCCCTTAAGGAGGCAGGAGATAATCCCATTCCTTAGGTCAGGGCTGCACACAGTTGGACTACTTTCCAAAGAGTACAGTATGGAAGGGGTGGGGGTGGGGCTCGGGGCAGGGAGGGGAGGAAGAGTAACTTTACAGTGGAGAAGCCTGACTTCTCAGCCAGGTAATCAAGATCAGCATCAAGTTATAAAGCATGTTCCCTTGATGTGAAGTGATGAAAACGGCAATCTACCTCTGTGGTTTTCCTCCCAATAACCCATAAGCCCAGACTCAGAAGAAAAACAACAGACAAATTCCAATAGAGGGGCATCCTATAATACACATGGGGGGGTATTCCTCAAAACTCTCAAGATCATCAAAAACAAAGTCTGAGGGGCTTCCCTGGTGGCGCAGTGGTTGAGAGTCCGCCTGCTGATGCAGGCGACACGGGTTCGTGCCCCGGTCCGGGAAGATCCCACATGCCGCAGAGCGGCTGGGCCCGTGAGCCATGGTCGCTGGGCCTGCGCGTCCGGAGCCTGTGCTCCGCAACGGGAGAGGCCACAGCAGTGAGAGGCCCGCGTACTACAAAAAAAACAAAACAGAACAAAACAAAAAACAAAGTCTGACAAACTGCCACAGCCACGGGGAGCATAATGAGAGCTAACTGGAATATGGTAACCTGGGTGGGATAATGAAACAGAAAAAGTACTTAGGTAAAAACTAAGGAAATCTGAATACATTATGGATGCAGGCCAATAATAATGTATCGATACAAGTTCATTAATTGTTAACAAATGTCCCATATTAATGTAAGGTGTTAATAAATGAATGGGGACAAGGTTTGGGGTATATGGAACTCTGTACTAGCTTCACGATTTTTCTATAAATCTAAAACTGTTCTAAAAAATAGTCTTTTTTCAAAAATACGGAATTGCAGTTTGAGGACTATACAAAATAAAGTCTATTTTTTAAAAAAGCTGATTCTTTTAAGCTTGGGGGGTGAGTAACTCTAGGGATTGATTTTTAGCCCAGGCACCGTCCCTGACACTGATATTTGTTGCATGCACGAACGAATATCATTCTCTGGAAGTGCACACAAAGCGGCGTGGTGTCAAAATCTGGAATGTACTGGGAATTTGGAAGTGTTTGCCTCTCATAAGCTCCACAAAGGCAAATTAACACACTTTTCTAAGGCCATACAGGGTGAAAAGCAGCAGGGAAAATGCTGATGTGCTAATGGGCTGGAGGAGGAAGTGAATGCACAGCTCCAAGTATACGTGGCTAAACCGGTTTATTCTGACCAATTAAAAAACAAAAAACAACAACAAAACACCATGGCTCTGGTCCTGGAGCCTGACTGGCACTCTACGCGGCTCCAATCGACGAGACCGTCATCTGGGCCCCGCTTACTTCTGGCTCTGGAGACAAGAATGGATGGGTGCCCGAGCTGGACATGGGAAAGCGAGGAAGACCCAAGAGGAGAGAGCGAATGGTGGCCCAAGCAAGCAGGAGGATTAGGCCGGGAGGGAGGACGCCGCGAACTTCACCCTTCTCCCAAGCCGGCCCGGCGGCCCGGCCTCGTTCCGCTCGTGCGGCCGCGTTCGGTTGCCCGGACCCCAGGGCGCGTGTGTGACTGCTGCTTTGCTGCATTTCTCACCGGGCGCCCCCTACTCACCGGTCCCCAGCTCCGAGCCGCGAATCCCGGGCTGGTATCGCTTCTTTCCCGCGGCGGTCAGTTCCGGGTCGCTCTCCTCCGCCAGCACCCAGCGCGACGGCGCGTCCCCGCCCGGTAATCTCCGGGTTCTTTGGAGCCCTCCACCGAGATTTCCCCCGGACCAGCGCCCGGATTGGCCCCTGCCGAACGCCGCCTCCCAATGGGAGCCTTAGTTCCCTCTTCGTCACTGATCACTGGGCGAATCCCTGGGCCGCAGCGGTGGGTGGGGCAGCAGAGGCTGAGAAAGGGAAACTGAAATCTTGCGGAGCTGAGGCTTAGCGGCTGCCGCAGCCGGGGTTTGGTGCGTGGTGCGCGCTCCCGCTCTACGGGGTGGAAGGGAGTCGAAATTTGAGGCCTAATGAGACATCTCCGTAGGGCTCTGGGACCCCAGAATCCCTCCTCTCCCAATTCCCGCCCGGGTCTGGACGAGGGTCGGAGAGCACTAGGCGGCGAAGCGAGTTTGCCAGTTGCTCAACATTAAATATGACTCTGCCCGCAACGTGGCCTAAATTTGCTTCCTGGACCAGGCAGAATCTTACCAAGCAGATAGTCTCAGGGGGCTATTTGCAGAAATTAACTACAATTTCCGAGGCGCTTACGATGAGGCGCTTTACATAAAATATCTTTAAACCAGTCAGGCATTTTTGTCCCCATTCGACAGAGATCCCAAGAGTTTAGGGGCCTGGGCTGTTTCCCTCTTCGGCGTTGGATTCAGAAACCACACAGCCCGAAAAGTGGACGGACACTCGGGTTCCCAGGATCCTCGGTGGGGAGATTTCCTTGAGGCTTCCGAGCGTCCACGCCACCCGGGGCCCGGGAAGCTGACGACGCCAAGCGTCCCTGGCCGCTCGCTCGACTCCTGTGTAGTCGTGTCCCAGGCACCGCCGCATGAAAATCGCCTAGTCTGCCTGGACCAGCGGGAGAGTCACCGCGTTCAGCACATAGGCCCTCCAGCTACCTACTCTTTTAGTTGGTGTTTTGGAGGAAATGTTTAAAATGCTGCTTAAATGATTTCGTGCTACTAATTTGTCCTCTCCTTGTCTCTAGGAGGGACTTGCCCCACCCACAGGCCATTCGTGCATCCTCCAGCCACAGAGGTACTTTCCCCTGCTTGAAATTCTCTGATAACTTCCCAGCCCACTTAGAGAGACAGGAAGGCCTCTGCAGGGCCTGCGGGGCTGACATAACCGCCCTGATTATCACTCTGACTTCCCTCTTGCCACTTCTCCCTAAGTCCCTGTGCTTCAACCCCTCTGGTCTTGAAACTCCCTGCCCTAGCCCCTGGCATGGCTGCCCTCTTCTTGTCAGTCATGTCTCTGCTCCCTTGACATCTCAGAAAGGCCTTCCTCCACCATCCAGTCTGTTTCACTTTTGTCATACATTTTCCATCATTCCAAAGCATCTTGTTCACTTCTTTGTCAATGTGTTTATACTCCCCACTCGCCACCCACCCCTGAGCAATGTAAGCCCCATGAGGGTGGAGACATCACCTGTCTCCCCTGCACATGACTGTCATTCAATAAATGTATATTGAATGAATGGGCTCTGCTTGGGCATTTCTAGAAGCTTTCTAAAGCCCTATGGCCCTGCTTGGCTGCAGTGTCAGTTATGCACTCCCCTCTCCCACCACACTACACCTTGGTTGATGCGGCTTCTCAAGCCCAAATAAGGGCAATGGTGACTCCAAGGCTTGCTTTGTACAGTCAAAGGCAGTTTTGTAGTCGCACACAGTGGTATCCGCCCCTATAGCTACTGGGTGCTCAGACTCACTGCCCCAAGTTTCTGAGGGCAGAGCCAAAATTCCTTCCTCCAGCCCTCCAGCCCAGTGTTCATACCAGCTGGAGACCAGAGCATCATATGGGGCTGGTTAGTTTAGCTTTCAAGTCAAGTCTCTGCTTGGCTCTGCATGGGCTGGGATCCTCCTCTCTGCCACTTTCTTTGTGATTCTGCGGAGTTGCTCAGCCTCTATGTGCCACAGGTTCTTTCTCTGAAAAATAGAGATAATAATTATATCCACTTCATAGAATCATTGTGAGGCTTAAATGAGATAATACATGTAAAACCTTTGAAACTGTCTATAAGTATTGACTAGCCCAAAGGATATAATTACTTGCATTTGAAATGAGAATCTTAAATCAAGCAAGAAAATTTAGTAGGTATGTTCCTACTATTTACCATATTTATTGAGTTAAAATATGGCTTTCAGAAATCTCAAGGTCTGAAGAATGTTAGAGTGCTTGGAAAGAGGCCTCTGAACAAAAATACTTAAAAATATGAAGCTCCCACTGGTAAAGAGGCAAAGAATTTGTTTGCATCTTTCATATGAAGGATACCTTGTTATCAGGGCCAGAATAAATGACTATCTCTAAAGGAAAAGCTAAAAGTTACATGAGCTAAACTGGTTTTAAGCCTATATGTCTGTTTTCTAGCAAAGGTTTAACAGAGAAATAAATGTATGCTACTAAGAACCGACTGCTTTTGTGCTAAGACCTGGCTATGGGCTAAAAAAATAACAGGCTTCACGGTCCCTTTCAAAAGGAAAAAGAAAGGCATTTTGAATGCTAACAGCATTGACTGCCGAGTTTTAAACAGCAAGAAGGCATAGGCTGAGCCAATCTCTTATATGACTTGAGTTGTTCTTTAAAATACTTTATATTCCAACTTTAGGGATGTTTATATAAACGTCTTTTTGTTCAAAAGTTAGTGAAAATATGCTGTATAGTAAACAATGAGAAATTCAACTTTTAACTTTAAAACTAAGAATTCTAAACCTTATGTGGTGAAGGTGCAGTTACCCCAGAGTGTGAAGCAGAATACTATCATTACATTTTTTAAAATTATTATGGAATTTTTCAAACCTACACAAAAGTAGAGAAAATATCGTGAACCACTTGGCCTCAACAGTTATTAACATGTTGTTTTGTTTCACCTATTCCCTCCCCCCACTTTCTTTTTTAACTGGAGTATTTCAAAGCAAATCACAGACATGTTTTACTTTACTTGTAAATACTTCCACATGCTTTTCTAACAGATAGGGACTTTGCTTACATAACCAAAAAGCCATTACTGCACCAAGCAAAATTATTCATTTAATTATTCAATATTTTCATAATGTCATTTAGTACCCAGACCATATTCAAATTCCCTGATTTTCTTAAAGATGTCTTTTTGCATTTGAGTTGTATGAATCCAGATGCAAACAAAGTCCATACTATTAAGAAAAAGAAAATTCCAAACTTGGGCATAGACAAAATGATGACTGTGTGTCCTTTCTGTGTAACACTGGAGCATTTTCCAACAGGCCCATGAAAGAATTATCTCATTCTCTAGGGAGGTTTTACTTTGACTTATTATTTTAGGGTATTTAGCATATTCTTTAAGGGTAGATGTGAATTTATAGAAAAATAATATAGATACAAATGATTCTTGGTCAATAACAATGTACATGAATATTAGTCAGTAGAGATATAAAAGATGTATGTCCAGTGCCCATGTATATTAAGTTTTTTTAAATCTCTTTGAAATAGTTCTTTTTTACTGGTCCCCTTGTTAATACTTCCTTGATAAATGCTCTTTATATTTGTCTAAGACCACTGTTTTTAAGTTTTTGAAAATTATACTTTGACAATACATTGCATTTTATTATTATGTCTTTTAATCCTTTTCTTATCTATAGCAATCCACCCTCCCTTTAGTTTTATACTATTAATATGTTGGAGAAAACTGTTCATTTATCCTGTAAAATGTTCTACATTTTGGATTTGCCTGGTTTCCTCATAGTGTCAATTAACTTGTTTCTCTATCCCCTGTATTTCTTGTAACTGGTAGTTAGATCTAGAGGCTTTATCAGATTTGGGTGCCGTATTTATTTATTTATTTATTTGGCTGCGTTCCGTCTTAGTTGCGGCACGTGGGATCTTTCGTTGCGGCGCGCGGTCTTCTCTCTAGTTGTGGCTCACGGGCCTGGGCTCAGTAGTAGCGGCACCCAGGCTTAGTTGCCGTGTAGCATGTGGGATCTTAGTTCCCCAACCAGGGATCGAACCCGAGTCCCCTGCATTGGCAGGCAGATTCTTAACCACTGGACCACCAGTGAAGTCCCTCGAGTCCCATTTTTTAAGGCAAGAAATATTCCATAAGTGCTGCTGTGTACCTATTGCATCACACGAAGAAATATATGATCTCCACCCCACTTTGAGTGATGGGAAGTTTGATGGAAGGTTCAGATATTGTCATCCTGATTACTCTTTCCCAATGGGATTGGTTATGTATTTATTGTTTCCCAGCTCCGAAATGCACCTGAGCCATTTAAATATTTTTCCTTTGCCAGCAGGCACTGATCTTTGTCACTAGAGGGCACTAGAGAGTCATTACAGGGAAAACGATTTTTGCTTCCTGGTTCTGGTATGCTCCTTGCCAGGCTCCTAAAGCTAGCGCCCGGCTTTTCCAGCACCAGCTCCTGAAGCACAGGAAATCTCCCTACCATCCAGCTTCTGCCATGCATGGTGGTCATCAACAAACAGCGCCAGCAGCAACCCCTCGGGAGATCTTATATTGTTCACCCTGGTGTGAACAGCTTTCTCCTGCACCCAAGAGGGTGGATTTCTGGGAAGTTCCAGAGGGCAGATTTCCAGGAAACTCTAGACATCATATTTCCAGCAAGTTCTACTGTGGCAGAACCACCTTGACTTCCCTCCTGTCCAGTGAGCCTCGTTGGCACCTTCACTAACAAGGCCAGATCCCATCCCTTCTGTTTTCTCGAAGACTATGCCTCTGTGATGTCCCACGTCCTGTATCATCACTTTTTACCTTTTCACTGACTTAGTCTCATAAGCATACACACATATTATAATATCCCTCATTTAAAAAAAAAATTCCTTGATACCATAAGTTTTTCAAGGATTTTTGCTTAGCCAACCCCTCCCTCCATTTCTCTGCTCCCATGACTGGAAATCTTGTTTGTACTTGATTGCTTCGTTTCTTTTCCTTCCTCCCAAAGACTGTGAAATATATCAAAATATATCATCTGTTAGAAGGAGTACATATAATGCATGTATATGTTTTAAAATAAGAAGAAGATAATAAAGTAGACATTTGCACTCATCTCTCATTCTAGGAAATCAGATTTCCATCATCTTTCACTGTGTGCCCCTAACGGATGTATCACTCCCTCTCTCCTCTAGAGGTAAGCTTCAGTGTGCTTTTCTGTGATAGTCATTAGCTTTTCTTTGTAATTGTTTTACACATGTAGATATCCCTAAACAGTACATTACCTAGTTTTGCCAGTTTTCGGACGTTATATACATGGAATCACACTGTATGTGTTCTGTGACTCGTTGTCTTTGTTTTTGAGATCCACCATCCTGATGCATTTAGCTTTGGCTCATTCATTTTCACTGCTGTGTAGTATTTCAAATATGAACAGTCTACATTTTTTTCTTCTCCACTCTACTGTTCCTGGAATTTGGTTTGTCTCCATCTTTTTGCTATTATGGGTAATGCTGCTATAAACATTCTCATACATGTATCCTGGCACACACCTGCAAGACTTTTTAGGGTACGTGACCAAGAGTAGAATTTCTGAGTCTTAGAATGTGCATATATGTCATGTTACTCAGTGAGGCAAGACTATCCCCCAGGGGTTGTATTTCTTACTGTTCCTCCACTGGCAGATGAAGTTGCAATTGAACCACATCCTCAGCATCACTTGGTATTGTCAGACTTTCAACTCTTTGCCAGTCTGATGTGTGTGAAATATTATCTCATTTTAGTTTTAGTTTCCATTTGCCTAATTATTAATGAGGATGAGAATTTTTCATTTTTCCTTCTTCTTTTTTTTTGCCATTTGTATGTCTCCTTCTGTATAATGCCTCTTATGTCTTTTATCCATTTTTCTATTGGGCTGTTTTTAAATTTATCTTGTGGATTTATGGGAGATATTTGTTTTTTCATATATTCTGGGGACTAATTCTTTGTTGATTGTATGTGTTACACATATCTTCTCAGAGTTTCTGGCTTGTCTTGATGGTGTCTTTTGATGAAGAGAAGTTCTTCATTCTAAAGTAGCCGAATTTATCATTCTTTATGTTGTGGACTCTGG